AGGTATGAGACACGCAAAGAAAATGTGGAAAACTCATGTGGCCAGTCCGTCGAACCCACAACCAGTATTCAGTGATGTTATCTACTACTGGTGGGCAAATTTTTCAATGAGTTATAGTATAAAAATCAATATAAAGTCTTGATTTCAATACCAAATTAGTATATATTATCGAGCTTTTGAAATCTATTTCTAAAACAAAAGTTGTAAAATTTGGATTTTATCTTTAAAAAAACAAATTCGGGTGAAATTTTTGTGAAAGAAAACATAATCTGTAAAGCATATCTTTCTACTGATGATATTAAGCTGAGAGGATGTGTAGTTAGAGTTAACGACCTGTAAAAGAGTTTAGAAGAATCAACTTCATACTACTGCCATAGATTACTCTAACCTTAATATTTCTTATTCTGGTCTTTCATATGATAGCGGTTTAGATTACGCCCATAAAATTACATCTCTCTATACAAGTATATAAACAAGTATATCTTTGACAAAGCATTTTAAATATGAATATTAATAAATCATAATTTGAGTTCAAAAGAACGGATACATATCTTCACTTCATAAATTAAACAAATTATTTCATAATTAAAATTATTATAATGAAAAAATTATAAATTAAAGTTTTTTAAAAGAAAAACGTTTTCTAAAGGAAACAAAAGATGAAAGATATAAATCATTTCCTTTGTAACCAGTAAGAAAAATTGTTTTATATAATAAAATTGGAGTATTGTAAATCATATTATAATACGTAATTAAACGATTTAATTATTTTATGTATTATAAATTTTACATTTTAATATAGAAATATAATAGTTATGAGAGGCTACAATTCTTCTCAAGTGCATCTATGCATTATAAATGTAAATATATGCTTGAAGTGTATCAAATAACTCGATATCTGCAAGCGGTTCGAAATAAAAATGTATGAATTTAAACATATAAATTAAAAATGATTTAATTATAATAAATGGTATGTATAAAAGTTATTTTAAGAATTAAGTAGCTTAATATAAGAATCTAAATTATAAAAAATGATTTTTATATATCATGTATACACCCAGAAAATAAATATTTTAGGAGTAAATGTCAAGCACCGTATAAATGTTATACTAAGCAAGAATGTGATAGTGATTTATTACAAATTAAGTCGCGAATATACAATTGCATTCTCACTCTAAATCGAAAGAAACATTTTATTTGAGAAGCATAAAATACAAGAAACAGGTCTCCAGGGGAGAGGAAAAAAAAATAAGATTTTAGTTTATTTCCTATTGTAAACAATTACTTTATTGCCGTAACCAAAATCTTTTTTGTTACTTTTACAACTTAAATCCACTTTAAAACGAACGAAATGACATTTGCTGTTCTGAATAAACATTATTTCGACTTTAAATTATAAATAAAATAAAATCCACTTATGTAGTTTTCACTTCAAAACACTAAAAATACTTTTTGTAGTGATCAAAACTGTTAATAAACTATGTATATATTTAAAACCTGACTTTTTAAGTATTTAATAAAGTAATTATTCGGTTATGAATTTGTGAAAACAATAAAAATACAATAATTTCTAAAGATAAGGTAGAAAATTATAAATAACGTTAACATTTTCGTTATCGCGTCGGCTTAAACAATTTATATTATATATTCTCATTCTTAAAATATTGTTATGATTATTATACTTATAGTTAAGTGTTAATATTTCATTTAATCTACTCGGTAACACCGTGTGCCTATTCCTCAAAACTATACAGGAGCCGTATGACTCAAATATATTGTAGTCTGTTTACCAGGGCGTAAATATTCTCCACCCACTCTCCTACTTTTTTGTATGTTCTATATATAGGACTGTGCCTAACTTTCTTTTATTAATATCATTTAAATATATATTTCATTTCCATAAAATTTGCAAAATTTTGAATATAAACTGAACAAAAACTGAATTCCTAATGATAAAAAATTAGTTCTTGTATACAGCTTCAATTTTCTTTCCTCTACATTTATTTATATACTTAGATTTTGTGGTAAACAACATAAGAAAGCGATACCCAAGTGTGAATTCACCTCGATAACACAAATCTAATTACTCCATAAAGAAAAAAATAACGCTTTTCTTCAATGTTTATATCTTGTTAATTACATAAAATCAAATTTTAAAACGATCGAGAAGGTAATAATAGTAAAAGAAAAAGTTCTGTCATTAATTCTCTTTTAGCTTTTGGTCACTATTTCCTGACTCACTTATCAGCTTCATGGTCTACTTGGCGAGATTGAAATGTCGACCTAATTATACCTATCGACTCGTTAGTTTATTATTCGTGTTTATGAAACGAAATGTTTTACACATGCTTAAGGAAGATTTATATAATTAATGGACTGTTATGGGCTTTTATTTACATATTATCTGATAGCGCTTCTTTAAACATACTTTCTAAAAATTGGGTTTAAACTTGGCATTAATTAGGAATGTTATTTGTATACAAGTAGAGCATGGGAATATTCTGTAACCGTTCTGTATCTGAATTAGTCATATATAAGAGAAATATGGAAATATTCTATGTCTGAATTCGGTATCGAAGTATAAAAATATTCTGTAAGTCTATTTAATCCTGTTTGTATTAAGATTAAATAAAAAAAATTAATAAGAATTTTAAATTTTCAACAATAAATGGTTTAATTTCGAGAAAATAAAAATTTATTAGATTGAAAAATAATGATTATTTTAGATTTGACTGTAGTTTTTAACACAGATTTTTATTAGATAAAAAAATTTTTTTTACTGCTTAAGTCACGGTTCGTTAATTCCTCATTAAATTATTGATTACTTAATGCTCAATTTATATAAAATATAATTATTAATATAAGAAAGCGAGATCATCTTACATATAAATATATTAAAAATAATAAAGTATTATTAGAGAGAAATTCTTCGTGGTTAAAATTTAAGAAAAGGAATTAAAGATTAAAAACAAATGGAGATTACTTGTCCTAGCTTCTTTATCATTTCGTTCATTTGAGGAAGTTTGGAAGAAAGATAAAATAATAATCGTTTCTAATTAAAAATAAACAATTAAAGAGGAAAAATAAGAAAATTTGACAAACATAAAATGAAAGTCGAACATTTTCTCACGAATCAGCCTTAATTTACATTTGTAACGGATGAATAAACGGCCGTAATTCGTGATATCCTTTAATCAAATCATTTCTAGATAAAAATAAATATGTGAGAACAGAATAAATAGTACTGTTTTCTAAATTATCTAAATTTTATGTCACTCAATAACAGAAAAATAAATTTTAAACAATCTGACTTACGTATAAATTATTTATTTCAAAATTTATTCATATTAGTTTATGATTGAAATAATTTTAATTAGTGAAGTACAAAATTATTTCTTTACAAATTTTATTATAAAACAGCAATATTAGGCCTACTTTAACCGTTTTTGAATGAATAAAAGTCATAGAATTCTCTAACAAATACTTACAGTACATAAACAACAAGCTAAATAATACAAGAACGAAGAACATTTGCCCACTTACGAAAGCAAACAAATTTACAAATAAACACATACATATACAAAAATTTATATTTTCTTTGTGTGCAAATGAACAAAGAGACACATAAATAAAGAAAATAAACACATATATACATAAACAATCAAAGGAAAAACACAAGAATTCACGTAACACGAACATACACGCCCACACACCAGAGAATCAAAAAGACACACAAAGAACAGTATAAAAAACTGAATTTTCTCTTTATTATATATATTACGATTGCATATTACCAAATATTCGTATTTCGAAACCGCGTTACATTCAAATCGACACGAGTTAAAACAAATAATGATACACATTTCAATTGTTGAAAACCGTTATGCAGATTGTTCCAAATTGTTTGGTAGATCGTTCCAAATGATCATAAAGTATCATTCTTACGATCTGAGTAAATTTACGATATTATAATAGAATGCGGCTCTACCAGATTTCTTTTTCGTGCCACAATTGCCAGGAGCAAATATGATAAACGATAGTCAGTAACGGCAAAAGCAGTAGTAACAGTGGTGTACAGTACTTTTTCTCGATCAGTTTGAAACGTCAACCTACATCTGTACAGATAAGGAGACGGTTGGAAGAGTATTCCGAGTGATCCAACCCAGAATGTCCTTGTGCCCTCCAGACGATGTCACGGTCGTGTAAGATGGAGTGCGTCGGAAGATAAAGCTACGAAGTAACACTTGCGTCATTCGACCTACATAACTATCGAAGTTTTGCTTTCACTGGCGCGGCCCGCGGCTGTAGGTTAAGATGGAATCATTGGAATTGCCGCCAAAACATTATTTTGGTTGGTCAGATGTTCGCGGGTGAAGGACGTTTCGTGGGTGATTCTGCTGTGGAATTAAATGGGACGGCCATCGTAACCCCCCTTTAATTCCTTAACGTGACCGTCAGCGAGCAATTCGAGATGATTAATGCTAAATGTTAAGCATTAACGAAGCATCTTTACAAATCTCTTTCGACCTCCAAATTACTGTCACTTTTCTAAGCAACCTTAATACATATTTTAACTCGTTATCTAATTTACTCTACGATTATTACCGTTAATTATCTTCTAGATTAGTATAATTTTATGTCATTAAACAGTTAGTCGACGATGCTACGGTTCTGTTGATACAAATTATGTAGATCAATATAATTGTTCGGTATTAAAATAACCTAATCAGTGTCTACACTAGTCAATTAATCAAAGTAACTAGGAACTTTTTTTCGTTATTAAAGTGAACCGCACGATTTTAAATTAATAAAATTAATAACTTTAAATAATTATTTTATTATAAATTTATATACAGTACAAACAAATGATTAATTTTTCTGTTTCTTTTTCAAATTTTTTCGTCCTTTCTTTTTATTTTTCTTCTTATTCTGAATGGAAACAGGTTTAAATTCTGTAAAAAATAAATCTGTATTGTAGACCACAACTTGTTTTTGTTAAACTAAAAATAAAACAGAATAAAATTATCGATAAATTATTATAATTTTAAAATATTAAATTAAAATTAATTATATCTTAAACAATAGATAATTATAAGTTTATATAGATATATATTTTGTTGGTAGTTTCTAGTATGTGGCACTTATAATAAACTACAGTTTAACTATGATTCAATTAAGAAAATGAATTTAATAATTACAAAAATTAATCAAAGATTTTTAATAAAAAAAAAACATTTTTCCGGTTGATTCTAGTATTCGGAATCAACTACAAAAATACAGAATATAGTTATTAACAGTTTCAATTATCACAAGTATCAGATTACAAATATCGGTTCCGGTTACGGATTTATCTTCCGGTATTTACAATTTTTTTAAACTAGAAACTATATTTTTCTATTTATAAAATTCTAATCATTTCTTTCAGCTTGAAAAAAAATTAAATTTATTCAATTTCAATGTGTTTTTTTTTTGTTACGCTGGATAATAATAAAATTTGAAAATATTTTTCGGCTTGTAAAAAACAAGAATTTTAAAAACGATACAATATTGTACAGTTGGCATACATTTTTAAATTGATGATAAACGATAATTTCGTTATATTAGTGTCATACTCGTGCGCTTGTTACAACAGATTTACAGCAAGTCCTCACTTAACGTCGTCGGTAGGTTCTTGGAATGTGCTACGTATAACTAAACCAATTTTACTATAGACTATATTATGGCATTAAGTCGTCGCAGTTTAATTACGGATTTTTAATTGTGATATAATAAATATTGTATATTAATAACCGTATATTGTATAGATGTAATATTCTGAATGTTTTGTAAAATTTCTGATGTATTTTTCTTACTTTGTTTCCCGTACAAGGGGTGGAAAACCTTGTGCTAAATAAATAAAATATTATAGACTAAATAATATAAACAAGATATAATTTGGTTTATATTATTCTGTTTGCAACTTCCAGCATTTATTTCTCACCTCAGAGAATGTATTTTATTGTTTATTTGTACTGTACATTTCCTCGTCGGCATTATAACGAAACGACGTTAAATGATGATTCGACGTATATTGTATTTAAAAACGCTTTCAATACAATAAGAACTGATCTGGTTGAGACAAGTTTGAAAAGTTATAAAATAATTACTAACTTTCATTTCTTTAACATACAAAACGCATTCAGTTGACTTAAAAGCTACGAAACATAACTACATTCGTATCATTTTTATTGTATTGTAGAACATTAAAGCAGTACAAGCCATTATATCGGAGATATTTCGATTAAAGATAATTACTTCCATTAGGAACAACTAAACGCTCTTCGTGTACGGTTTTGATTATTCGAAACGCTTATTCATACGATGATTTCCTTCAACTTTCGTGACTGCTACCTTAACGAGAAAAGCAAAGTGGTAGATTACGTAATTTCGCATGCGAAATAGACTTCATTGTTTATCCAGATTATTCAAAACTTAAACGTATTTTCAAAAGAAATGATGCATTCTATCCGTCTCATAAGAGAAAAAAAATTGGAATAAATATTTCTTCAAATCAGCTATTTATTTATTATTAGCATTAATTTTTTTTTAAATCAACAATAATTTCTCTAATAACAAATAAATCCTACGTAGACTCGTTTATTATTAATTTTAAAAGTTAATAATAAAACTTGAATTATAAGAATAAAGACTACGTTCATCATGCCAAAAATATTTACTTAAAAACGAGATAATCACTGTCTATATCGTTTAACGCCGATAGTAAAACTTGAATTGATGATAATAGTTTTCACTTTTATTTCGGATAAAATTCAGAAGTTAAAATAATACTTTTGCTTACGTTTTATAGCCTTTACCTGATCAAAAATGTTTGAGGAATGAATCTTTCAATCAAATAATGGAATGTGGTTAACATTTACCAAATTGTCATAATCAGTTTACAAAAAAAATTCGGTTAATAACTGTAATGATCAGTTTAACCAATTGTAATCGTCAATGATTATTGGTAATTAAGATGACGATAACCAGGAGGTCTTTTTGAGCTTTAAATTTGAAATGTATTTTACATGTCAAATACTTTTACTACTTTTCTTTTTGTCACCTTTAACGGAATTTATTATTTATCTAGACATCTTAGTGTTGTAAATCAATCCTTACAACTGAATTAAATAGCAATAATTCATAATTGAGACAATATTACTCTACATTTGCATTTAACTGGCATTTAATTAGTATTTAAACAGGCCTATTTTTATTCTTGATGATAAAAAAAATTATGTAATTTTTCAAAAAGCTTATCTGACATCTTATGATATATAATGTAATAATAAATATCAAGATAATTTTCTAAATTTTACCGAATTCTTACATTTTTTAAATAAAAATTATGAATTCCAATGTACATAAGCCTATATAAACGGAGTTTAAAATTGTATAAATTTAATTCTTAATTTAAAAAATAAAAGCTATAAAAAGTTTATTGTAATTATTAACANTATATATATATACTTTATACATATTTAAAATATTTATAAATGTATAGCGTAATGTTCCTTTTCTCGGATATTAAAACTTTCAATGGATAAAACATTACGAAATAAATTTTGGACAAAGAAAAGATAATTGTCGAGAAATAAAAGTCTAACCTTCAAAACAAGAAATTTATAAAAATTTTAATTAACTTCAAACATTTTCCTTATGTAAAATGCTACCAAATCATACATCAATCATTCGGTTTATGCGTAGGTCGAAAGGTCATACATGCGAAGGCAACTATCATTACAACAATGGAATGTTGGTAAATGTTAGTAATCTCTTGAAACAGGAAAAACCATTCGATTCAGAACACCTGGCAACATCCGTTTCGGCTAAAAATTCTGCTTATAGTTTTATATAATTTCAGATCGTAATTCAAGACCTGGAATCAATGGCGGATTAACTATCGTTGAGCTTTAGTAGGGCTCCCTCCGTCCACCCCTTGGTGAATAGAATAAAGTGACATATCTTAATAATAATATACATCAATTAAAACCATTTCTTCTCTTCCTCCTTCCTTCCGGGCCCTAGACTTCTACTAGTCTACTAGCCTAATGGTTAATCTACCACAGACTGGAATACATCAGCATATTCTGAACGAGTATATTTTTATATTTTATAAAATAAACAATTTTAGAAATCTTAATAATTTAACACGTGTTGTTAATTAATTCCTTCAAAAGTGTTTCAATTTTTAAAACTGTCTATTAAATAAGATATGGGAGTGAGCGAATATCAAATACATATAAATCTCTTCGTAAGTTGCAACAGATAAAATACCAAAGCCACGCGAATACCAACGTAATATAAATTACGGCTAATAAGATACTATTACCACAAAGGCCCCTTTCGGGTATAGACAAACAAAAGAAATAAAATGGAACAACGAGAGTGGTAGAAATAAGAACAAGGTTAAGAGGATCACTAAATTACAGCTAAATCATTTTCCTTTGTATAAATATTACGAACTGTCTCGAATTTATTTGCATCTCTTAATTTCAGGATCTAACGAATTCTATACACGAATACAGATCGAATAGTTGCCCTAGTTGGAGCCTTTATTTCGAGATAAGGAAGTTTCTTGATTCTAAGGCAAATTAAAACATTTCTATAAACAAGGACGATTCTTTGTAATCCGAGCACGATATAACCGAAAATAAACTTTACATTTCCTTAAGATACAGAAATTCTTAAGATACTCTCATATCTTCTAGTTCTAACATGCATATTCGAACTTATTCCATCCTCCTCTGAACAAAGCCAGTTTTGTATATTCTAATATTCTAATTCTATAGCAACAACAACCTCCAACTATTTATAAGAGCATTTTGAAAGTCTGATAAAGTTTCTCGTTTTCATTATTCAACAATTATATAAGAGCTGATTAATTATATACATTTAAACTTGTCCAAATGTCATACTCTATAGAGTCTGTACAGTGTATTTGTATTAGTTGCATTTAATCAAATATTTTTGCTGACATTTTTTCTCTTAATTGATAATTCAGTAACACAAAAATAAAATTTAACGCATCAGCAATAAATAAAACTACTGTTGCTTTATTTTAAAAAAACCTGATATATTGTTAATCATTGAGCTTAAAATATGAGATGAAGGCCAAATAAATATATTTGGTTCATCTACGAGTGATATAAGTTAAATTGCCGAAATATACGTTTTCTTCTCATGGTACGATTTTACTCTGGAAGCATTTCGTTTTAAACACATCATACGTTATGAAATAATCAAACGGCTAACTTGTTTCACGAACACAGTAAAGAAGAATAAATATGTATATTAGTAATCGAATTAATATTCAGCATGAGTAGGGCTAGAAAAGAAGTGAATTTACTTTCTACTCGAGTCATATATATTTTTCTAAATTTTTATCTCTATCTTTTTGAACAAATGTCTGGTTAATATATCATGGTTTATACTTTAATTTGCATTAGTCACAACTCAGCATTCAGTTCTTCTATGACATTTAGTAGTTATATAACAAAGTAACACAAAAATGTATTATAACATATTTTTTTTTTTATAATTTTCATTATTAATGTGTAGTTGTTTTCTAAAGTGTTTCTATACGGAAAATTAAATAATTCCACCTATGAAGCCCAATAAATAGTCCATGAGATTTTAAAAAAAAAAACAGTTAAATACGAGGAATAAGATAATCTCCAGTAGAAATAACCTTCTTTGACCTCTTGTCAAGCAGTTCATAGAAATCTTTAATAGATAAACTACAATCTTTTAATAAACTTTTAATTGTGATTTAATTAATGTTTATATTTTTAGTCTATCCTTACAGAATGATAAATAATGATATCAAAACAAGTACAATAGCAGTTTTCCTTAACGAGTTTCGTCCACTTAACGAATATTTTTTTTTATTATTTGAATTTTTCAACAATTAAACAGTGAATATTTTTTTTCAACTAAGAATTTCTTAAAAGCGGTTGCGATA